TTCCACTGTAGACACAGCTGGTCCTCCAGCCAATTGGCCTGGAGGTAAACAAACACAGGGAAGCAGCCAAAATGCGGAGACAAAGAAATGTGTCACAAATGAAAGAAATGAAGAAAGCAAACTACTGGATATAGAGTTGAAAACCACAGTAATAAGCTTACTAAAAAATCTTCTAGAAACCTCTGAGAAATTTAGTGAGACCTTCAAGGAACTTAATGAGAATGCCAAAAAAGTGGAAAAGGACCAGTCAGAAATTAAGCATACACTGACTGAAATAAAGAATAATCACAGAGATTCAACAGTAGAGTAGAGGATCCCAAGAACCAAGTCAAAGATTTGAAATACCAGGGAGCAGAAAACACCCAACTGAAAGAACAAAAAGAAAAAAGAATCCAAAAATATGAAGATACTATAAGGAGCCTCTGGGACAACTTCAATGTACCAACATCCGAATTATGGGGGTGCCAGAGGAAGAGAGAGAGCAAGATATTGAACATCTATTTGAAAAAATGATGACAGAAAACTTCCCCTACCTGATGAAAAAAATAGACTTACAAGTCCACGAAGTGCAGAGAACCCCAAACAAGAGGAATCCAAAGAGGACCACACCAAGACACATCATAATTAAAATGCCAAGGGCAAAAGACAAAGAGAGAATCTTAAAAGCAGCAAGAAAAAAACAGTTAGTTACCTACAAGGGAGCACCCATACAGCTGTCAGCTGATTTCTCAACAGAAACTATGCAGTCCAGAAGGGAGTGGCAAGAAATATTCAAAGTGATGAATACCAAGAACCTGCAACCAAGATTGCTCTATCGAGCAATGCTATCATTTAGAATTGAAGGTCAGATAAAGAGCTTCACAGACAAGAAAACCTAGGGGAGTTCATCACCACCAAACCAGTATGATATGAAATGCTGAAGGGTATTCTTTAAGAAGAGGAAGAAGAAGAAGAAGGTAAAGATAAAAATTATGAACAACGAAGTGACAACAAATACATATCTATCAACAAGTGAATCTAAAAATCAAATGAATAAAAGTCTGATGAACAGAATAAACTAGTGAATGTAATAGAATCAGGAGCATGGAAATGGAGTGGACTGATAATTCTCCGAGGGAAGGGGATGTGAGGGGTGCAGGAAGAGATGGGACAAAGGTCTTATATGCATGTATGCAGTACCTATAGACAAAGACAGTAGGGTGGCGAGGGCCTGGGGTGGGGTAGGAACCAGGTAAAGGGAAGCTATGGGGGGGAAAAAAGAGGGACATCTGTAATAATCTGAACAATAAATTTTTTAAAAAATGGAAAAAATACAAAAATAAAAATATATGGACAAAATATCCTCAGGTGAGGAGTAACAACAATAACGAAAAGAATATGTTCTTAATTGACACCTAGTAAACTACTTGGCACCCTGTAGTCAGTCAATATTTATTGAAACATTCAATTAATTAATTTTGATTTTAGTTTGTAAATATATATAATATATATATGTATATATATATATACATATATATATATTATATATATTTAATTCTTTATTGTTTAAAGTATTACATAAGTCTACTTTTCCCCCCATTGACCTCTCCACAGCCACTCCCTCCCCCAGCACCTGCCCTAACCCCCCTATTATCCATTGGTTATGCTTATATACATGCATACAAGTCCTTAGGTTGATCTCTTACCCCTGCACACCCCGCCTTCCCTCATAGGTTGGACAGTCTGTTCGATGCTTCTATGACTCTGGTTATATTTTTGTTCATCAGTTTATGTTGTTCATTATATTCCACAAATGAGTGAGATCATGTGATATTTATCTTTCTCTGACTGGCTTATTTCCCTAGCACAATGCTCTCTAGTTCCATCCATGCTGTTGCAAATGGTAAGAGTTCCTTCTTTTTTCAGCAGCATAGTATTCCATTGTGTAGATGTACCACAGTTTTCTAATACACTCATATGCTGATGGGCACTTAGGCTGTTTCCAAATCTTAGCTATTGTAAATTGTGCTGCTATGAATATAGGGGTGCATATATCCTTTCTGATTGGTGTTTCTATTTTCTTGGGCTATATTCCCAGAAGTGAGAATATTGGATCAAATGGAAGTTCCATTTTTAATTTTTTGAGGAAATGCCTTACTGTTTTCCACAGTGGCTGCATCAGTCTGCATTGCCACCAGCAGTGCACAAGGGTTCCTTTTTCTTCACATCCTGGCCAGCATTTGTCGTTTGTTGATTTGTTGATGATAGTCCTTCTGACAGATGTGAGATGGTACCTCGTTGTTGTTTTGATTTGCATCTCTTGAATGATTAGTGACTTTGAGCACATTTTCATATGTCCCTTGGCCTTCTGTATGTCCTCTTTTGGAGAGTGTCTAGATAGGTCCTTTGCCCATTTTTTGATTGGATTGTTTATCTTCCTTTTGTTAAGTTGTATGAGTTCCCTATAAATTTTGGAGATTAAATCCTTATCAGATATAACATTGGCAAATATGTTCTCCCATAAAGTGAGCTTTTCTTGTTGTTTTGTTGATGGTTTCTTTCACTGTGCAGAAGCTATTTACTTTGAGGTAGTCTCCTTAGATTCCATTGCTCTAGGAGCTGAATCGGTAAAAATATTGAAAAAACATATGTCTGATATTTTGCTGCCTATGGATTCTTCTAAAACTTTCATGGTTTCCCATCTTATGTTTATCCATTTTGAGTTTATTTTTGTGTATGGTGGAAGTTGGTGGTCTAAGTTTCATTTTTTTGCATGTATCTGTCCAATTTGTTCAACATCTTTTATTGAAGAGACTTTGCCGGAGTCCATTCATTGTCTTCACTAGCTGAGTTTAGACAGAGACCCCAAAAGGCTAGTAACCTTTGAAGTCCTAGCAAATGTCAGGACTACGAACCACCCAGTTAATTTAGGTAATAATAGTTGAAGTATCCCCACCTTAGTTCACTTAATTCCTTAGATACTTATGTAGATCCTTGTTGATTATTGTTGATCAGATTCTCTGCCTATTCCTGAAAATTATCTATTGATGAGCTAATCAGATACTTTGTCTATTCCTGGAAATTGTCTGCTGATCTGTGTGTCATTGAAACCTCCTTACCCTAAGGGCTACTCCAGATCAATAAAAGATTGGAGCGGCCTGAGCATCGGTGGAAGTCCTTCTGGACTTGCCCTCCTGGTCCCCCAATATTGCAAAATTATCTCGTGTCTTTTTCTCTCATTTGTTGTGCGGCTCCTCTTTCAGATACCGGACCCTACTCCATGGAGAACGTGGAGGGAGTGTTACTCGACAAGACTTGTCTTGACTCTATTGTGTGCTCTTGCCTCCTTTGTCAAATATTAAATGAGCATAATGGCTTGGGTCAATTTCTAGGTTCTCTGTTCTGTTCCACTGGTCTATATGTCTGTTCTTGTACCAGTACCAGGCAGTTTTGAGAACAGTGGCTTTGTAGGGTATCTGGTCTTGTGATCGTCCAACTTTGTTCTTCTTTCTCAAGACTGCTACAGCTATTTGGAGTCTTATTTTATTCCAGATGAATTTTTGGAGAGTTTGTTCTAGGTTTTTGAAATATGCCATTGGTATTTTAATGGGGATTGCACTGAATCTACAGATTGCTTTGGGAAGTAAGGACATTTTAATAAAGTTGATTTTACCAATCCATGAACGTGGTATATTCCTCCATTTGTTTGTCTTCCTCTATATCTTTTTTCAGTGTCCTGTAATTTCCTGAGGACAGGTCCTTTACCTCTTTGGTTAAACTTATTCATAGGTATCTTAATTTTTTTTGTTGCAATGGTTAAGTGGGATTTTTTTTTTAGTTTCTCTTTCTTTCAGTTCATTATTGGTGTATAAAAAAGCCACAGACTGCTGGGTGTTAATTTTGTATCCTGCTACATTGCTGAATCCATCTATTAAGTCTAGTAGTTTTTTGACTGAGTCTTTAGGGTTTTTGATGTACAATATCTTGTCAAGAATAATGACAGTTTTATTTCTTTTCCAATTTGGATGCCTTTTATTTCTTCTTCTTGTCTGATCACTATGGCTAGCACTGCCAGTACTCTGTCAAAAAGGAGTGGTGAAAGTGGGCATCCCTGTCTTGTTCCTGTTCTTAGGGGAAATGGTTTTAGTTTTTGCCCATTGAGTATTATGTTGGCTGTAGGTTTGCCATATAAGGCTTTTATTATGTTGAGTTATTATCCCTCTATTCCCCTTTGCTGAGAGTTTTTATCAGGAAAGGGTGTTGAATTTTGTCAAATGCCTTTTCTGCATTAATTGATATGATTATTTGACTTTTATCTCTCAATTTGTTTATGTGAGGTACCACATTTATTGATTTACGGATATTGTACCAGCCTTGCATCCCTGGAATAAATCCCACTTGGTCATGGTGTATGATCTTTCTAATGTAATGCTATATCAAGTTTGCTAGAATTTTGTTGAAGATTTTAGCATCTATGTTCATCAGGGATATTGCCCTATAATTCTCTTTCTTTGTAATGTTTTGATCTGGTTTTGGGATTAGGGTAATGTTGGCTTTATAGAAAAACCTTGGAAGTGTGCCTTCCTCTTGCATGTTTTGGAATAGCCTGAGGAGGATAAGTTTTAGTTATTCTTTGAATGTTTGGATATTCTTTGTATGAATTTTTATTGATTTCAGATAGGAAGAGAGAGAGAGAGAGAGAGAGAGAGAGAGAGAGAGAGAGAGAGAGAGAGAAACATCAGTGCTGAGAGAGAATCATTGTTCGGCTGCCTCATGCTCGCCCAGCCTGTAACCTGAGCATATGCCCTAACCGGAATTGAACTGTGACCTCCTGGTCAAAACTCACCCACAGAGCCTCATAGACATTATTTGTGCTTTTATTTTATTTGTTCCACCACCCTTTATCCCCTCTTTGGCTGCTTCCACCTCCACCCACTGCCCTAATTATTTTTAAAAGCTATCTTAAATATTAGTATAATTGTCTGGAGAGAGGAAAAATCCTTTCTGAATATTTAACGTACCTGGTACAAAATGGGAATTATAGTCTGGAGGGGCATCAGGTCTTGGATCAGGTGACTTTAATTGATTTCCCATTTCATCTGTAGGTTGCTTAGGGGCTGTGGGGACTACACCTTTGGGGAAAGATAGGGTGCATGATTTACAATGGAAATGGTAATATAACAGAATACATTCACTTTTTCTTGTTGGCATGCACCATTGCATATAATCAATAAGTAATACACTCATATTTCATACAAAAATCATAATTCATAAGTATATTAGACATCAACCTATTATAGTATTCGATAAATTTTCAGGCTGAATATGGATTAAAAATGAAAATATTAAACCATTGTGCTATGATCAAAGCAAGGAACTTTCAGGCTACTAGCTTCAGCTGTTCTGATGTGATTCCTACCTACATAACTTCCTTTCACAGTGTCGAAAATTCTTTCTCATAGTATGTAAAGTCAAATATAGAGTGAATTGGATTTTTCATAAATCCATTTTGGAAAATGGCTGTTTAAATAAATTCAAAACATAACACGATAAATACTTAGTAAATTCAAAACAGAGCATGATGAATACTAAATGATTTAAAAGCCAGTGGTGACATATGCAGTTCAATTAGAGGTGGTTTAGTCAACATCTCCAGGGATTCACACTCTGCCCTATTCATCCTGAAAGACCTAAGTCACCCTGATTGCTTCAAGGGAGTACAGAAGTCACTTTTCCTCATGCTGAAATCAGAGAACCTTTTCATTGGACTCACTATAAGGAAAAGTTCTGAATCTCTTAACTAACTGACTTTTATCTAAAAACAATCACACACACACACACATACACACACACACAAATCCCATAAACAGTGTGTTTCTCTCCTTGTATCATGTCTTGCATTGCTTGAAAATGCAGGGGCTACTTTTGAGCCCTCCTCTATGAAGACAGGCTGCTGTCACAGGCTTTTTATTACTACCTCTCTTTGCAGACTTACTTTTCTACCTGTATTTTTCTTTATCCAAATTTCCCCACATACTTTAGAGATCTTTCCACACATATATGCCAATGTAAATCCCTTTTAACCCTTTTTTGTTAAAGATAGAAATGAATGCTCATATGTATAAATAAGTATACATACATGAATATATACTCTCCAAATACTTAATAAAAAAATTCAAAATGAAATAAACTTTAAACAATTTTTTAAAAATCTTCACTGAGGATACATTTTTATTTTTTAAATTATTATTATTTTCTAATTCTCACTTGAGGATATTTTTCCATTGATTTTTTTAGAGCAAATGGAAGGAAAAAGGGGAGAAAGAGACACATCAATTGGTTGCCTCCTGTGTGGTCCCCAACTGGGAGTCAGGATAATAAAGCCTGCAACCAAGGTATGTGCCTTTGACTGGAATCAAACCTGAAGCCCTTCAATCCAAGGTCCAACACTCTGTCCATTGAGCCATATAGCCAGGGCAAAATCTATAATTTTTAAGGAAAGCAATCACAAAATTCACATTTGAAAATAAAGCATATTAAAACTTATTCACAAAAACTTACCTGACATTTTGAGGTATTCCAATTAATCCTGAAAAATAAAACATTTCATACTTTAAAAACATACTTATTATTACTACTTAGTAATACATGTAACAAGTTCAGTGATTCTTTTAGCCGCCAGTTACCTTTCACTCATACCTTCATTAGTTCAAAAATGTTTACTGAGCACCTATTATGTACCAGGTACTATTATAGATGTTGAAAATATAGCAGTAAACCAGATGGACACACTGCTGAACATTATATTCTAGTGTAATGAGATTTAAAAATCCTATCTAATAATAGACAAACATGGTAATTAACTGTACCTCCGACACACTTCCCACTGGCTAATCAGGGCGATATGCAAATTAACTGCCAACCAACATGGTGTCTGGCAGCCAGGCAGCTGAAGCAAACAGGAGGCTTGCTTGCTCCTGTGATGGAGGAAGCCAAGGTTCCCCGCCAGCCGCCGCTGCCCAGCTCAGAGCTGCACTCTAAGCAACTATGTTGCAATTATAGAAGCTAAACAATCCCCAGAAACCTGCTTTCAGCCAGCCGGGCCTCAGAGCTGGAGTTGCAACAGTGTTTCAATTATAGAAGCTAAACAAAGTCCAGATACCTGCTTTCAGCAGCCGAGGTCTCAGAGCTGGAGCTGAGCCTCAGAGCTAACGCTGGCTCTCAGCTCCAGTGACAGCCATAGAAGGTAAATAAATCCCAGAATTTAAAAAAAATATATAAAGAAAGAAGAGGTTGGGAGCTTCAGTCACCCGCCACCTGAAAACGGCCCTCAGCCCCTCACCCAGGTTGGCCAGGCACCCCAGTGGGGACCCCCACCCTGAAGGGGGTGTGACCAGCTGCAAACAGCCATCATCCCCTCACCCAGGCTGGCCTGGTACCCAAGCGGGACCCCCACCCTGATCCGGGACACCCTTCTGGGCAAACCAGCCACCCCCCACCCCCATGCACCAGGCCTCTATCCTATATAGTAAAAGGATAATATGCAAACTGACCCTAACAGCAGAAGGACTGGGAATGACTGGTCACTATGACACACACTGACCACCAGGGGGCAGACACTCAATGCAGGAGCTGCCCTCTGGTGGTCAGGGCGCTTTCACATGGGAGCTCTGCTCAGCCACAAGCCAGGCTGATGGCTGCCAGTACAGCGGTTGTGTGGGAGCCTTTCCTGCCTCCTCAGCAGCGCTAAGGATGTCCGACTGCAGTTTAGGCCTGCTCCCCGCTGGCAAGTGGACATCCCCTGAGGGCTGCCAGAGGGATGTCTGATTGCCATCTTAGGCCCAATCCCCCAGTGAGCGGGCCTAAGTCTGCAGGTGGTCATCCCCTGAGGGGTCCCAGGCTGCGAAAGGGCACAGGCCGGGCTGAGGGACCCCCCTTCCCCCCCCCAAAGTGCACAAATTTTTGTGCACCAGGCCTCTAGTATGTCAATAAATATTTAAGATTAAATTTAGATAGTTCAGTTATGAAGTAAAAAGTTTAAGAAAACATGAGAGTCAGGGTAACCCTCTCTCAGAATATGACCTTTGAACTATTTGAACTATGAATGGAGACACTACACCAAAAATATGGGAGATGAGATCCAGAAAGACAGAAAAGTAAGGACAAAGGCCCTGGTGTGCCACTGACCTTAGAATACTCAAGGGAGAGAAAGAAGTCATGTTTGGAACATAGTGAATGAAATAAACAACAAAAAACAAAACAACGAATGAAGACAGAGGTCTGATCAGACCTAAAGACCATAGCAAAATGTTTGGAATTTGTTTAATTGCAGTGGAATGATCAGATCTGACACATATTTTACCTTTCTTTTATTTTTTTCCATCACCTTTTATCACCCTCATACCCTCTTCCACCTCCACCCATCCTTCTACACCCACACAAAAACCACACTGTTGTTCATGAGTTATCTTTCTTTTTGCTCAATCCCTCCAATCCCCAGCATACCTCCCCTGACCAGAGTGGTCTGCCTGTTCTCTATCTATTAGTCTGTCTCTATTTTGCTTGGTAGTTCAGTTTGCTCATTATATTCCACATATGAGTGAAATCATATGGTACTTGTCTTTCTCTAATTGGCTTATTTCACTTAGCATAATGTTCTCCAGGTCCATCCAAGCTGTACCAAAAGTTAAATTTTTCTTTTTTACCAGAGTAGTATTTCATTGTGTAAATGTACTATTGCTTTTTTATTTTTTAAATAATGGTTGTTTTTAAAATATATTTTTAATGATTTCAGAGAGGAAGGGAGGAGAGATAGATAAACATCAATAATGAGAGAGAATCATTGATCGGCTGTCTCCTAAACACCCCACACTGGGGATCAAGCCCACCACCTGGGCATATGCTCTTACCTGGAATTGAACCGTGGCCTCTTGGTTCATAGGTTAGTCCAGCTGGTCCCACTGCTTTTTTATTTACTCATCTACTGATGGACACATGGGCTGCTTCCAAGTCTTGCCTATTGTAAATAACGCTGCAATGAACATAGGGGTACATATTTTCTTTTGATTTAGTATTTCAGGTTTCTTTGGCTAAATCCCAGAAGAGTATTCACTGGGTCAAAATGCAGTTAAATTTTTAATTTTTTTGTTAATTAACTCCATACTGTTTTCCATAGTGGCTGCACCAACCTGCATTCCCACCAGCAGTGAACTAGTGTTCCCTTTTCTCCACAATCTCACCAACATTTGTTGTTTGTTGATTTATTGATGATAGACATTCTGCCAGGTGTGAGGTGGTATCTCATTATGGTTTTAATTTTCATTTCTCTGATGATTACTGACGATGAGCAACTTTAATATATCTATTGACCATCTGTATGTCCTCTTTGGAGAAATGTCTATTCAGGTCTTTTGTCATTTTTTTAAATTGGTTTGAATTTTTTTTGGTGTTGAGTTTTATAAGTTCTTTATAAATTTTGGATATGAACCCCTTATCAGATGTATCACTGGCAAATATGTTCTATTTAGTGGTTTGTCTTTACATTTTGTTGATGGTTTCCTGTGCTGTGCAAGAACTCTTTAATTTGATGTAGTCCAATCTGATTTTTTTTTGTTTCCCTTGCCTGAGGCAATATATCAGAAAAAATATTGTTAGGAGAAATGCCCAAGATTTTACTGCCTATGCTTTCTTAAAGGATTTTTATGGTTTATAGTCTAAAATTTAAGTCTTTAATCCATTTTGAGTTTATTATTGTGTGTGGTGTAAGGTGGTCTAGTTTCATTTTTTACACATATATATCCAATTTTCCAACACCATGTATTGAATAGACTATTTTCAGTCCATTGTATGTTTCTACCTTCTTTGTCAAATATTAATGGACTATAAAGGTATGGCTTTCTTTCTGTTACATTCTATTGATCTATATGTATGTTTTTATGCTAGTACCATGCTGTTTTGATTAGTATAATTTGATATCAGGTAGGGTGATTCCTACAACCTTGTTCTTCTTTCTCAAGATTGCTGTTGCTATTCATGGTCTTTTGTAGTTCCATACAAATTTTTGAAACACCTGTTCTAAGTCTGTAGAAATATTCCATTGGTATTTTCTTAGGAATTGAATTCAATCTGTAGATTGCTTTTGGTTAGTATGTATAACTTAGTGATGTTAATTCTTCCTATCCATGAACAAGATATATGCTTCTACTTATTTCTATCTTCCTCAATTTCTTTCTTCAGTGTCTCATAATTTTCTGAGTACAGGTCTTTTACATCCTTGATTAAATTTATTCCCAGGTATTTTATTTTTTTAAGAAATTGTGAGAGAGATTTTTGTTTGTTTCTCTTTCTGACAGTTCATTATTGGTGTATAAAAATGTAATTGATTTCTGGATATTTATTTTATATTCTGCTACTTTACTAAATTCATTTAAATTTTAGGTTTTTGGTGGAATTTTTAGAGTTCTCTGTATACAGTATCATGTCATCAGCAAATAAAGACAGTTTTAATTCTTCTGTAGTTAAAATTTCCAGCACTATGTTGAGTAAGAGTGGTGAAAGTGGATACCTCTTTCTTGTGCCTAATCTTAAGAGAAACACTTGTAGCTTTTGCCCATTGAGTAAGACATTGGCTGTAGGCTTGTCATACACGACCTTTATTATGTTGAGATATGTTCCCTATATTCCCACTGTGGTAAGAGTTTACATCATAAATGGGTGATAGATTTTATCAAATGCTTTTTCTGTACCTATTGATATGATCATGTTATTTTTATCCTTCATTTTGTTTATGTGGTGTATCATGTTTATTGATTTGCATATATTGTACCAACTTTGCTTCCCCAGAAAAAAGCCCACTAGATTGGTATATGATCTTTTCAGTGTACTGCTGGATCTGGTTTACTAATATTTTGTTGAGAATTTTAGTATCTATGTTTGTCAGGGATATTGGCCTATAATTTTTTTTCTCTGTAGTGTCATTATTTGGTTTTGGAATTAGGATAATGCACACCCCATAATATGACCTTGGGAGTCTTCCTTCCTCTTGAATTACTTTGAATACTGTGAGAAGAACAGGTGTTAGTTCTTTCATTATTTGGCAAAATTCACCTGTGAAGGCATCCAGTTCAGGACTTTTGTTTGTTGGGTGTTTTTTGAATTACTGCTTCAATTTCATTATTCTTCCTAATTTAGTTTCAGAAAATTGGATGTTTCTAGAAATTTATCTATTTCTCCCAGATTGTCCAATTTGTTGGTATATAGTTTTTCATAATATTTTCTTACAATCCCTTGTATTTCTGTAGAGTCAGTTGTTACTTCTCTTTCATTTCTGGTTTTACTTATTTAGGCCATCTCTCTATTTTCCTTGATAAGTCTGGTTAAAGGTTTGTCATTCTTGTTTATCTTTTCAAAGAACCAGCTCTTGGTTTCACTGACCCTTTGTTTTGATTTTTTCTTTTTTCTTTTAGATGCTATTTCATTTATTTGTGCTTTGATATTATTTCCTTCCTTCTCCTTACTTTGAGCTTTGCTTGTTCTTCTTTTTCTAGTTCCTTTCAGTGTAAGGTTAGTTTATTTGAAATTTTTCTTGTTTGAGGTAGGAATATAACACCATGATTTTCCCTCCTAAGACTGCTTTTGCTGTGTCCCATAGATTTGGGGTTGTTGTATTCTCATTTTCATTCATTTTAAGGTATCTTTTGATTACTTCCTTTATCTCACTGTTAACCCATTCATTGTTTAGTAACAAGTTATTTAGCCTCCATGTCCTTGTGTGTTTTTCAGTTTTTTTTCCTGTGATTGATTTCTTGTTTTATACGAGTATGGTCAGTGAAGATGCTTGATATGAATTCAATCTTTTGAAATTTATTGAGACTTATTTTGTGTCCTAACATCTTGTCTATCTTAGAAAATGTTTCCATGTGCACTTGAAAATGATGTATATTCTGCTGCTTTGGAGTAAAATGCTCTGAAGATATCAATTAAATCCATTTGATCTAGTGTGTCATTTTAGGCTGATCTTTGTTAAAATGTCTTGATGTTGATTACATTTCAGTTCATATAACTTTATTCTCTTTAATGGCTGCACCACAATTTATATAACTGTCTGCATAAGGATGAAAATTTAAATTGTTTCTGAATATATGCTATTACAAACAATGCTAAAATAAACCAATATATACTTTTTTGGGTACCTGTATATTAAGTTCTTGGAACCAGAATTACTGGATGAAAGTTTTATGCATATTTATTTTGCTATACATTGCTAAACTGTACTATAAAATATTTAAATCAATTTACATACCAGAAAAATGTGTTACATTACTAATGTGATGATTTATCAAATCTTTTCTCATTGCCAATCTGAAAGGTAAATACATTTTAGTTTTACTTTTCCTATCTTAAGTGAAAAAGGGAATTTTTATTATATGTTTAAAAGTCATTTGTCCACCCAGGCTTCACTCCCCATGTCTGAAACTTGCCTCCCCCAGGCTCCGAACCCAGGCAGAACTCAGGCCCAGGATGCAGGATTATCACAGGAAGGAGCATGTTTTTTGTCCAGAGGCAAATTTACCTTGGCAGTAGAGGTAAATTCCCAAAGACAATTTATTCTTCAAAAATCTTCAGACTCTCAACTTGTGCTGACTACTAAGTGACATCAGAGGAACAGCAGTATGAGTGATCCCCTTGGAGTTTCAACTATTTCAATAGCTATAATTCAACAAAGGATTCTCTGTTCATGTATAAATATACCATGCACTGAAACAGCTAAAGGTGGGCAAGTGGGAACAAACTGGGGAGGTAAGAATGGAGAAACACTGAGAAAAGCCACAGATGCACCCTGAATCTGGGGGCTTAAGGAGAAGCTGAACCCAATGAGGGGAGGAATCCGGTTGTACCTGGCACCCTCTTCAGCCAGGTGGAGCAGAGATTTAGAGAGCATCCTTGCAAAAGTGGGCAGTACCAGCTAAAGCTGACCCCAGTGACCCTGGCAGGGACACATCACAGAGGTGAGCCACAACTGTCTGGTGCTGGGCATTTTCAGACAGAGATACAAAGCCATGGAGCCTGACTGCTCTTTAACCACCCAGATGCCGTCTCCTTTCACACTTGGTATTGTGTTGTAGAGCACATTATTTTCAGGAAACATAGACGTGGCAGACAGAAGAGTACAGAGGGGTCTTAAATCAGGCCCCATGGGAGATTAAAACTCAACTAAAGCAAATGACACTTCATTACTTCACTTTTTTTTTTTATCTTCTACTTAAAAATTTTTTTCCATTTTCTTTATTTTTTATTATGTTTATTTTTTATTATCATTATATCTATTTTTACTTATTTTTTAGCCCTTTATTTTTCTTTTGGATTACTGTTCTACATTCTATTTTTACTTTTTTATCATTATTTATCTCATTTTTTCCTTTTTGCCAACCTTTCTTCCTCACTTCTACCTTTTTCATCTTGTTTCTCTTCTCCTATTCCTGTGTTAGTTTTTCTGTCTCTTTTAATTTTACTCCTTTTTAAAAGTTAATCTTTTTTATCTGCTTTATTGATACATTACTATTATAGTAGTCTCTCTTGGCTTACTCATATATCGCATTTCTTCTCCCCTGTTCCAAGTCCATGGACCCTTGTCTTTTCTCTTTATGCACTAGCCAATATTTTTTCTTTTCTTGTTGTTGTTTGTTTGTTTTTTTGCTTTTGTTTTTATTTTGTACTTTTGTTTTTCCTCTCATTGCTTACTCTCTTCTTCTACTAATAGCTTAATTAGTTTCATTCACCAAAACTCAGGCTTATATGCCCTCTACTATATTTTCCTTTTCGAAATATAGATGAATACATAGATAGGTTAAACAAAGGGGAAATTTTTTTCTGGTATAAACATTTAAAAAAAATATGTATATATATATATATATATATATATATATATATATATATATATATATTTGAGTATTTTGTTCTTTTTACTTTTAT